CTCCTCCTCCACCGTCACCTTCACCACCCCCACCTTACATCTACAAGTCTCCTCCTCCACCATCACCTTCACCACCCCCACCCTACATCTACAAGTCTCCTCCTCCACCATCACCTTCTCCACCACCTCCCTACTACTATCACTCTCCACCTCCACCCGTAAAGTCTCCTCCTCCTCCTTATTACTACAGCTCGCCTCCTCCACCGGTAAAATCGCCTCCTCCCCCGGCGTACATTTACGCTTCACCACCACCACCAGTCCACTACTAAAAGTTTCTAAGAGTGCAGTCATTCTCCACAATCAATCAAGTGAGTAGTTGTTTAATTTGTAATTTTTCATACGATACTCAACCTTTTTTGGTTCTTCTTTTTGAATTAAGTCTCTAATCTTCTATGTGTTGTTCTTTTCAGATTTTAGTTTGAAACACAAAATAAATGATGGCTTCTTGAGGAATAGATTCAAACGTCAATGGTTCAAAGCAATTAATTTATGGAATAACATTTTCAATCTTTTAATTGAAGGGTTGATTCTTCATGACATGGACATATTTGATTCTACTTCTCTTTTGTCCTTCTTGCACATTGTTCTCTTAGTGCGTTCACATGAACGTATCTAGGCTTTGATGCTTCTTAGAGTTTGTTTCTTTGTAACTTATTATTTGTATTGAGGATATTGTCCTCTTTTATTCATTCTTATTAATTATTACTGAATGTTGTTCTCGTAACACCTTTATGTACTTTGTGCATTAATCAATAAGAAGATCAATTTTATTACATTCACTATCTTCTTCTATTCCTCTTTCTTTTACCTCTGTAAACATGTTAGAAACAAATTAAATTAGTCTTCTCCAAATATATATCAACAAATTGGAAATGAATAAATTAATGAACTTAAGTCAAGCCATTTTGCACGTACCTTGACTAATTACACGAGATACTTGTTACCTCCCACCAATACTTATATCGGATAACTCTATCAACGAAAGCTTGGACAAAAGCCAAAAATCACCAATCTTTCCACCTACATTGAAATTGCACTCTGAGACCTCGTGGTTCTCATTCCAACACTTACGATTATGCAAATGCGTAATACAAAAAGGATTTATATTCTATGACGATCACAAATTTACTTTCTTAATGTAGTTAATCGATGTAGCAAGTTTACTCAATCTATAATTTGAAGCCATCAACAATCAACATACATATAATTTTATCCATCAACAATCAACATACATAAAAAGGGCTATTTGTGCTTTTAAGTTATCAACGTTGTTGCACCGGCCAACTAGTGTTCCAAAAAGAAAATAATTCATCTATTTGCTAATAAGTTGAACAATTTAACCATACATGTGATCAGTGGCGGAACCAAGGATCCTAATAGGGGGATTCGGAGTACAAAAGTATCACACTTAGGTCTGGAATATATATAACTGAGCATGTCGCATAGGGTAAATAATTGGTACGAGTTTCAGACAATCCCATATATATAGTAACGCACCTTAGCATTTACCAGTAATAAACTCCAACAACATTAGTCTTGTTTTTTACCAGCTAGCGCGAGTCCACGACATAGAATATATGTATATATCCTTACTCACTACAGATCAACAGGAATTTAGATCAATTAATTTGGCTAAACATGTCAAAGTTGTTGTAATTATTGAACACTACAAAATTCAATATCACAGAATCTGAGCACTAGTGATATGCTTATCAGCCCACACCCTGGCTATTGAAAACATAAAAGCAAGAGAGTGGAAATATTAAAAAATAGCACTTTCTTTCCCTTAAGCCAGTTCATGGCATGTGTTTTCTCATAGCAGGTAACAAACTACTTGTTAAAAGATAATGGGGAAACATTCAAAGTGATATAGAGATGGAGTTAAATAATTAAAATGAAAACCTGTAGATCCAGATGTTAATGTATTTTTTATACTTTGATTATCAATCAGAGCAATTGAATTGGTCCTTTAGACAGCTCTTTACTTTTCAATGTGTGTAACTATAAATACATAGGCCAATGAATCCCCAAAAGGCATCACTTCTCAACTGAAAAACTAAAGGTTATCTCCTTTCTTCTTCCTCTAACTAGCTTGGGAGGCTAGGTGGTGTAATTTTTCAGCGAAATGAGACTTAACAATGGCGGCCCTGCCAAGGGTCGTCAATATTTGCCACAAATCTTAGTGGCATTGGCCATATTGGCTGTTGCTAATGTAGTGTCGGCAGAGCCTTATGTATACTCTTCTCCACCACCTCCGGTGTATGAGTACAAATCACCACCACCTCC